CAGGATGAGGCTCCCAAACCCTACCACAGGCTCAGGATGGGCCCAAACCAGTCAGGAAAAACAATGAGGGATCTGTTCTAAGTCCTGCCCTACCTTGTGAAGGATCAAGTGCAGACAAGATGGTCACAGCTGCTCATTCTGGGTAACAGGTGCATGATGTTTTTTTTTTGTTGCTGTTGTTGTTGTTGTTGTTTTACTTTTCAAAATTAAAAAAAAAAAAGGCTGGGTACAGTGATGCTTGCCTGTAATGCCAACAACTCAGGAGTCTGAGGCAGGAGGATAGCAAGTTTGAAGGCAGCCAGGGCAATTTAATGAGACCCTGTCTCAAAAAAAGGACTGGGGATGTAGCTTGGTGGTAGAGTGCCCCTGTTTTCAATCTCCCTATCAGAAAAAAAAACAAAAACTGTAATTAGAATAAAGTACACAAGTGATTTAGGGGTTCATAGTTGAATATAGGGGGTTAGTGAGAGTTGGGGGAGATGACTGCAGGCCCTCTCTGCCTCTCTTTGCCAATCGTCTAGGGCTACACCCTCTGTGACTTCTGCTGCCTCACTTTATGCACAGCCCCCTCTCCTCAGGGGCCCTTGGCTGATGGTACCACTGATCATGTATAGTCAGACCCTCAGTGCCAGCAGAGAAAGGACTGTGCTTCCAGTCCTGGGGACAACAGGTGCAGCAGAAGGGGCATGTGCTTTAGAATATAATCCAGTCAGACTCCTTTCTTTCTGTTTCTCTCAGGTGACAAACTGTGGGGCCCTACCTAACTCCCTGAGCCTCAGTGTCCAAATCTGTAAAAGGCTGATTGTTGTGAGGCTTAGAGCTGGTGAGTAGGAAGAGTACAGCCCAGGGAAGGCCCACAAGTCTTTGTTGAAGGAAAAACATATGGATGGCTGGAGGGAAGGGAGAGAAGGGAGGGAAGGAGAGAGGGAGGAAGAGAGGTAGTGATACAAAGAAGCTGTCTTCAAACCATGCCATTGGAGAAGTTGAAGAAAGTAAAACTGCTCATGGTGGAGAAAAGCAAGACTGTGGAAGGTTCGTATGGAACAGGTTAAGGGGAGAAAGGAAACGGCTTTCTAAGGATGAGCGGGCCCTAAGGGGAGTGGACTGACTTGAAGGGCAGCAGGAGCCTCATCTCTAGAAGGGTCCACTCACAGACAAAGCCCCCTCTCTGGTAGCTGTTAACCATTCCCTAGTCTTGGCTCAGAGGGTCACTTCCCTGGTAGCTGTTGACAGTTCCCTAGTCTTGGCTCAGAGGGTCACTTTCCCATTCTGGCCATATTTGTCTACTACTATTATTAATCCCTACCTTAAAATCACTATACTTAAAAAAAAAAAAAAAAAGCATGCTTTCAACTTATAATCTTCAGCCTTAATGAAGAGTAAAATATTCATTTGAAAACAGGTTTGATGTGATGCTTTTTTATAATGCATATAAACAAGTATGTAACCACTAAGATGGAAGAGGCTGTCTGTGTCCCACAGAACCATCTCCCCCTCATGATGAAAAATGTGCTCTGCTAGGTATGAATCTAGACTAAACATGCTCTGGGGCCCTGTCGGGTGCAGGGTTCTGTTATCTGAGGTTGCCTGAACACTGATAATGCTCCGCATCCGCAAGTCCTTTCTGATCTCTCAGCATATTTCATCTGTGTATTGCATCTAATCCCCATGACAACCCTGAGGGCCAGGCAGAGAAGTCACAGATGGAGCCTGGGCCCATGCAGCAGAGCGCAGGCCCCACCCAAGCCCTGTAGATAGTCACAGAGGACCAGGAGTGGAGCGCAGAGCTCCGACTCTCCGTCCCACCCCCTGGGCTCCACTATTTCACGTGGCACAGCCGAATCCATCCTTGCCTTGGCACTGCCCACGATCTCACTAGTGGAACAACTCGTATTAAAATTGTGATGCTTCATCCATGGAAAAACCTGCTGCCCGGCTCTCTAGACAGAGAATATGCCCTTCTGAGCCCCAGAATGTCAACTCAGCAACTGGTGATGACCCACATTGTCATTTGGCCATCTGGCCATCAGCAGGCCCCATCTCGTGAAGCTGCCAAGAATAGGAAAGGACATTAATATTAGGGACATTAAGAAGCTACATTCACATGGCCGCTTCATGACTCCCACAAGAGCAATGGCTGCAGAGAGCAGCCTGGGAACACACTGGCTGCATAAGGCCCCGTGGTGGGGCCAGGCCAAGGAGGGCTGGGGGCCCTCTGGGAATAGATCAAACCAACCTCATCACATGTGGCAGGAATGCTCCCTGGAGAACAAGAGATGGGCACCATGGATTACAGGGCAGGTGCCCAGGAGCACAACCCAGCCTTCCCTCATTCCCCACCACATCAGTGAGGCCTTCTGAAGTCAGACCGCGGAGCTCACTGACTTTACCGCAGGCTGGGCAACAGTAAAGTCACTACTTTCTGTACCTCTGACACCACCTCTGCCCTCCCAGTCTGCCCTGGATGGCATGCTGGCCTGGCTGGTTTATTAAGCAGGTCTTCAGTAAACACTATTGAAGCAGCATGGTTTAGATGAGGGGTGGGCAACATGGATGAAGGGCTCATTCTCAGAGTTCCATGAATCCCCTGAATTATCCACCCAACTTTGCACATCAGACAATTTTTTTTTTCTGAACCTCTCATTAGCATCTTAAAAAGGCAGTGATTCTAAAACTGTAACTCTGAACTCCAGACCCTCAGCTTTCATGGCTACCTGTCCAGTGCAAGAACTTGCCAGAAGTACACAGTGACCTCACAAGAACTGAGAGCATGTTTGGGTGATCAGAGGTCTATTTAATCTACTGCTGTTTTAGTTCTGCTACTTGCAGCCAAAAGCATCCCCACTGATAAAGGATACAAAGCCCAGAGGCAGTGTCTAAGATGATGAGGGCAAGACCTCACAGAGTTCACCAAAAGAATTCCTCTCCAAGCTTAATTCTTTGCTCAGTCCCCAGACAATGGGTACCTGCCAGATGCCCCAGGTCACAGGGAACTCACCCAGATCCTTCGTTTTTTCCCATGTCCAGACAAAGGTGACTGACTACCTCATAGCTGGTTCATACCTGCTCAGGCCTGGCAGGTCCTGAGCCTCTGGAACTCATGTATGCCCTCTGGACACTTGAGAGCATTCCAGCTCTGCACAAGAACCTGTTCCCACTTGGTTCACATGAGTATGGCTTATCCAAACTACAGAGTGCTCACGAGCAGATATGTCTGCTATCACTTTCAGGGAGGCACATTCTGTTTAGGGCATTTCATTGGTAGAACAAATTATAATGATTAAGCCAGGTAAAAAAACACAGACTGGAGGTCATATTTCCCTGAGAACTCACTAGATACAGAAGCCTGGTCAATATGTGATTCTGACTGATGTTAGGACCAGTCACCCCAGAAGCTCAATTTATCAGAGCCAGCAGTCCCTCCTGTTCCAGATGACCACTGGAGCTCAGAAACCAACCCCAGGGGTAGCTGACTTGTCCCTTTATAAGAAAGTGTAAAATACCTGTGACTAGAGTCAATACTAAAATAAAAGTTACACCTGTCACAAAAATGTCTTATATATAGCTGAAAACATGAGAATTGGAAAATAGAATCTGCTTTATGCAGGAACAAAGGTAACTACTCTGAAAAGCAGTAAGCTGCCTCCCCAGGGGGCCTTGACCACCTCCCCTCTGCATTAGGAAATGACAAGGTCACATCAGGGGGAAGGGGGTAGTTTCCACCAGCGCACTGGGCTTACTCAACACCCTCCCCCTCCCTCTCCCCTCCCCCAAAGAGGTTGGCAGACCTTGAAGCCCCCAGAACACCAAAGCCCATGCCCTCCCACCCTTGGCAGAGAAAGGCCAAACTACGCCATAAACCACAGACAGAGACGTTAACTGGCTGCTGGGCAGTGTGAACAGACCCACGGGTGAAAACCATGGCCTGAAACATTTTCAGCCCCAGTCAGCAGGGACATGCGATTTACAGGAAATTGGGGAGGTTTATAAAATGTTAGCAGCTCAAGTTTCTTCCCCGCGAAAATAAGCAGAAGAAACTCTAAGATCTGTCTCTGTGAAAGTGCTTTGTTCACGGCTGAGCCCTGACACGTGTCAGTTATTAATAATACACACAACCACTACCTCACACTTGAACCCACCAGTGTGAGTCTGCAGAGAATGCTGTATTCTAAATGCATAACATAGGCTGCACCAAGAGCATCTGAGCTCCTCACAGCCAGACTTTCATAACAGGGGCCAGAACAGACACATGGCCAAAAGCATGGGCTTAGATATGATCTTGGGCAAGTTGTTGATTCTTTCGAGGCCCAATTTCGCCATTTGCATACAAGGATAATCATAAAATCTTTCTGGAGGTGCGCTGGCAAATGATGAGCAAGTCCACCTCAAGTGCTTCATCCTTGTTAGTCCTGCGGTTATTACGGGGGTCTTTCCAGGCTTTTAGGTCTGATCTGCTTACTCCTGCAGCTAGGTAAACCTCTGGAGGCTACAATTGCAAGCCTCATCAGTCACCCTCTCTGGACTAGTCCAGGAGACAGCATGAGTCCCATTGTGCATCTAGGATCTAACTGGGTGTCCAGGGCCCCCGCTGCTGCCAGGCATCACCTCCTCCAGGAGGCCTTCCCTGACCTCCCATACTGGAGTGGGCTCCCACACCCCTGGGCTTCCCAGAGCCCAACACAAACCACTCTGGGGTGTCACTCTTCCTGGCGGGGGAGGAGCTGGCACCATGCCTGACACACCGTGGGGACCCTGCTGCATCAGTTCTATGCATGAGCCCAGGCCTCAGTTGTGACCAGAGAGCCCCACCTCCCCAAACCCAGGCACAGTTAAGAGTTGTTTATACAGTAGGCTGCTTTTTTATAATTCAGATGAATCTGACAACTCTCCGGGAGGATCCCTGCCCCCCGTTAAGGCCATTTTAAAGGAGGAAAGAGCCCCTCCCGCTCCGACCTGGTCCCGCCGCCCACCTCCCCTCCGAGGAACCCCAGGATAATTACCGTGGAAGGGTCCCCGAGCCGCGAGCAGGCCCTCCCCTCTGGGGTCTTGGTGGCGGACAGATCTCTCAATCGCACACCGTTACGCGGCAGCCCGCGACGGGGGCAAAAGGCCACGCACAGCCAGTCCCAGGACTCAGCCCGCGCGTGGAGAGCTCTGCTGAGCCGGGGGGCGGCCACACCTCCCGCCCCGGAACAAAGCGCCCGCCCGGCCTGGGGGCGGCGCGCCGGGCCCCCTCCCCTTCCCGGCTGCCGGCCACTCACCGCGCGCTCCGGCCACGCTCGCCTCTGGCCCGCAGGCCGCCTCCTCCACGATCGTGCCCGGGAGGAGGCAGCGCCGCGCCCGCCGGGCCCCGCGGCAGCTGGACTGACGGCTCCCCGCCAGCCAGCCCGCCGGCCGCCCCGGCCGTCCCCGCCCCGGCGCCTCCTTAAAGCGACCGCGCAGCCCTCGCGCGCCCGGAGCGCCTGGCGCGCCGCGCATTCCTTATATTGCAACAGCGCCTGCTAAAAATAGAGCGCCACCGCGGGCGCCGGGGGAGCCCGGCCACCGAGCCGAGTCCCTGCCGCCCCCGCGAGCACCCCGGCCCCCCGCAGACGCACGCCGAGATAGGGTCCGGCCCACCCGCGCCGAGTCCCCAGGGCCCAGCAGGGTGCGCAGGCCAGGCCACCCGCCGGGCCCCAAACCGCTGCCTCCCCCACTTACCCAGAGCCCACCCGCAGCGCGGGGCAGCTGGCTTGGAGGTGGGCGCCGAATGGGAATTCGCCCCGGTCGCTTTAAAAGCATCGGCGCTCCAACCTTTAAATCTCCGGGCCAACTTCTGCCCCAGTCCTGGGCAGCTCCCGGCCACCACCTTAATTAACCGCGTCCCCTTCAAATCCCCAGCCGTCTTCTTCCTAGGTCCCGCAGCCCTAGTCGTTTCCCTGAGGCCCTCTGGGTGCTGAGATCCAGAGCCCAAAGTTCATGCTGATAATGGCGAGAGGCGACGCTCTACGCGAGTTCGTTTGTTTCACCCCCGCGTCGTACCCCCTGCCCTATTTAAAATTTTAAGATATAATTCACATGCCATAAAATTCCACCTTTTCAAGTATACAACCCAATGGTTTTTAGGATATTCACAAAGTTGTGCAGCCAACACTATGATCTAATTCCAGAACGTTTTAATCACCCCACCTTCACCACCACCAAATAACCCTATGAACAGTCACTCCTCATTCTCCCCTCCCCCCAGGTTCTGGAAACCTCTAATCTGCTTTCCAGTCTCCGTGGATTTGCCTATTCAGGACATTTCCCCTAAATGGAATCACACAACACGTGGTCTTTTGTGACTAGTTGCTTTCAGTTAGCACGATGTTTCCATGGTCCATATGTGTCCTCACATGTTAGTACTTAATTCCTTATCATGACAGAATAATATTCTATTGTATGTAAATACAACATTTTGCTTATATATTCATTAGTTGATGGATAGTTAGGCTTCCAATTTCCGGCTGCTATGAATAAAACTGCAATGAATATTCCTGTACATGTCTGAACATTTGTCTTCATTTCTCTTGGATACAGACCTCCGAGTGAAATTGCTGGGTTATATGGATTACTCCCTGGGGAAACACCAAATTTTTCCAAAGCTACACCATTTTCCATTCCCACCAACAATGCAGAGGGTTTCACCTCCACATCCTCAACAATCTTTCTTGTTTCGTTTTGTTTTAATAGCCATTCTAGTGGGGATGAAGTGGCATTTTGGTGCGTGGGGATGAGGGGCAAGTGCTGGGGATTGAACCCAGGACCTCTCCCATATTGGGCCCTAGTGACTGATCTATATCCCCAGTCCCATCTTGAGGTTTTGACGATCAGTGTCATTTCTGAGGACATTCTTTTAGTAAGTGACTTGGAGCCATCTTTACACATCCAGGGAACCCACTCCCTTCCCATTTGAGTCTCTCCCTCCATCCCAAACCTAAGGGGACCTCACTATCCTGTGTTCTGAGGGCTTTGCAGAGGCTCTGGTGTGATGCAGGCTCCCATTGGCATCCCAGCCACCCATGTAGCCATTAGGTGAGAGCAGTTGTAGCCCCCTGTCCCCACTCCCTTCTGCTGCTCCAAGGTCAAGTGGACCCCAAGAGGCCCCAGGGTAGGGAGAGCAGATTGGATGCCTCCAAGAGTACCTCACCTTGGCAATGGGACGTAACAGAGGCGCCTGGGAACTTCAGAGATGGGTTACCTTGACTGGCTGGGTCTTGCCCTGAACTTGCCTTTTCTTCTCCCTACCATTTACCACAGGCCCAAGGGAAGGTGATCAGAAGACATTCTGATTATCTGTCAACCGTTCGTGGGCTCTTTTTGTCAAGAAATGTCCTCCCCTGGTCCCTGACTGTTGCCCTTAGCAGAGTTGAGATAATATCTCCATGAGAGTCAAAAGATGTCGTCACACTGTTTCCATACACAAATCTTCAATAACAGGTCTTCTCAAAAATGGAACTTTCACAACTGATAGCTGTTATGGTTTAGATATGAGATGTCCCCCCAAAGTTCATGCACGAGACAAGGCAAGAATGTTCAGAGGGGAAATGATTAGATTATGAGTGCTGAAACCTAATCAGTGGATCAGTCCACTGATATGGATTAACTGTGTGGAAACTGTAGGCAGGTAGGGTGTGGCTGGAGGAAGGCAATCCTTGGGGGGGGGGGGGCGTGCCTTTGGGGTTTATCTTTTGTCCCTGTTGAACAGAGCTTGCTCTCTGATTCCTGGCTGTCACGAAATGAGCAGCCTTCCTCCAACATGCCCTTCAGTCATGAGCTCCTGCCTCCCCTCAGGCCCAGACCTATGAAATCAACCATCTATGGACTGAACCTTTGAAACCATGAGCCAAAATAATCTTTTTCCCCCTTTAAGTTGTTTCTGTCAGGTCTTTTGGCCACAGTGAAGAAAAGCTGATTGAAACAGTAGGCACATCCAGGTAACCTGGGCTCCTCCAACAGTGAGCTGAAACCCTGCAGGCTGTGGCTAGGGGTGGGCTGTCCCCTTTGGGCTGCCTCCTCTGTTCTTGGAAACCTGAAATGTGGCTCCGTCACTGACAAGCAGAGGCTTCAGAGAACAGGTAACCGAGCAGAAAACCAAGGCCTGGGTTTGAGAGTTTATTCACTAAGTAAACTCTGTCAGAGCAGCAACCTACTTGTCAGAGTACCTACTTGCCAACAAGCTGAGTGCCAACCAGGGTCAGTGGCATGGGGTTGGTGGGCGCCAGAGGAAGGGCATCTAACCTAAGCTGTGGGTGGGGGTAAGTAAAAGCTGATGACTGAGGACACATAGCACTAGCTAGGCTGAGAAGGGAGGGACAGACCCTACACTGCGGCACAATTGCACTGAAATCTTTCCCCAAATTCCAGCAGATCAGCATGGCTGATCAGGTGTGTCTGAAACATGGTAGAAGGCCAGACCCCTGACCAAGAACCCAGGCAGGGCTCAGGCCCAGATTTCATGCCCTGAGGTCCAAGGCCAGCCACTGGGTTAGGAACCAATTCCTGAAATGGGGCAAATACAGAACTGCTGGGCTGACCCAGATGGGACCTCCCCAGTTAGTGACAAAGCAAGTGTTTCATCCACTGTGGTGTGTCCTGTGCCTGCTTCTCTGCCCAAGCTTGCTGAATGCGGTGCTTCAGAGAGACTTAAGCTGGTGCCTAGATGTTGAGCAACCCAGGGGGATCTGGGGACTACAGGGCTGGAATCAGCCAGGTCGTTGTGGTCCAGTCTTCCTCTAAAACTCCTAATCCCAGTGTGGTCCCTGGGGGTAAAAGTAGCTCTGAGTTCCTGAGTACTCAATATATCGTGCCTGACACTGGGCAGTGGTAATGGGGCCCACACACACCACCTAACCACCCTGTCCTGAAGGTCTTAACCACCCTGTTTTAGATATGAGCCAGCTGTGAGCCATGCCCACAAGGTGGTGGGCTGAGAGTCAGGTTCTTCTGACTACAAAGCCAGTGCTCTTTCCACCATATCAGGTGGCCTCCATGGGAAGGTCAGTCCCCTGTGTTTGGTGTTGGGAACAGGAGGAAGGTGAGCAGAACAGCACTTGTTCCAGACCCTGAAACTCCAACCACAGGTGAGCAAAAGAAGCTCACCCCAGCCCCATGCAGGTTCCCGCTCTCAAGTGACCTTTCTCCTGAGCCAAGTACAAGGCTCTTCATATTCTGTCCATGATTTAGCACCAAGAACTACAGTCTGCTCGCAGGGTTTCCAAGGCCTTTGCCAACCTTGGTCCAGTCACTTCTCTTCACCCTTCCTCCTAGCCTCCTGCAGTCTCCTCCTCACTCCTCAGGAGTGAGGCCTCCCAGGGTTTCTTCTCGGTGCTTGTAGTTCATTCCTCACATGGGCTCCATCTTGCTCTTTGGAGCCAGAGAGCAGTTTCCAATCAGTCTGCTTCCCGCTTTCCACCAAACTTCAAAAGGTTGTCCATCCTCAACTAATAGGTTTGTTTCTGAGCATTTGTTTCCTCTGTCTTGGTATTTTCCTCCTTTAAACTTCAGTGGCTCTTAAATTTTGGGGGAGAATTGCAACTCATAGGAATAAATAAGTTTTACATTGTAAATCAGAAAACACACACACACACACACACACACACAAAGTGTAACAAAAGTTTCACAATGTGGATCTTGACTATGTGTGATGCCCTCTGATCTAATATGCTCTATTCTGTCATTAAAAGATGCTGGCAAGACCTACTAAATCAATTTCCTACCCCACTAATGGGTTATGTCCTACAGTATGAAATGCACATTTTGACAGCCAGAGCCTCCATGGAGTGATATTATAGCAGATATTTGTCAAGAAAAAAAAGTCAACTTTAACATGCTAGAGACAATAGTTTGAAAAGAAAAAAAAATTCAGTTTGAGTTTTAAAAGCCCAGATTTCTGCTTCAAGGTAGGATCCAATAGGTCGCAGCAGGCTAATGTCCCTATTGCAACAAAATGAGATGAGGCTTTCCAGCTGTTCCCCCATCCCTCCCCACCCCTGCCCGGGACACTTGCCAATTTGGGGCACTCACTAAAGATCACGTTTTGCCCAGAAGGAGGACTTTAATGGAGGAAGGAGGAACCAG